AAGCTCTTTAATGCCTTAAAGTTCAATGCGTTCGCATGGATTAAGAAATTTTAACGCGTTAAAATACGTTAAAAGAGTTTTAATGCGTTGAAGAGCATTGAGTTTATCAGGCGTTAAAAGTCAGCATTTTCCAAAAGCGTTAATAGTTAATTTAATTTTAACGCAAGCAATGCCTTAAAAAAATTTAATATGAGACTATAACGCGTTTTTTCGCTGGAGTCACGCGCTAACTATCCATTTTAAGTCGTTTTAACGTATTAACGACTTTTTAATACATGCGAACGTTTTCGTTTACTTTTGGTATGCTAAATTTAACGCGTATCAACGCATCAGAACTTTCTTTTTAAGTCCGTTAACGCATGTGAGCCCATGAAATAATTTAATATTAATAAACTAGTTTATTAATATTTAGTGCTGTTAAATGGGTTAAAAAATAGCTAATGCGTGCAAAAGAAATTTTTGAAATCAAAAAAATCCATTGGGATCTTTTTATTTTTACATAGGAAAGATAAAAAGATGAGAGAATTCGATAAAACGCTTTTAAAATATCTAACGCGTGAAAGCAAATAGTACATTTAACGAACGGTTAAAAACAAAAATATTCAAATAAACGTGTTAGAATATTTCACGCGTGAAAACAATGCAATATGCGACTTAATTGTGTAAACCAAGTCAGAAGTCATGAAAAAAATTAAAGTTAAATGATTTGTATTTATGCAACTAGTGTGGAAAGTAGAACTGTCATAAGCACAAATATCGAAAGTTAAAATATGGAAACCAAAAGGTCACATGATAAAAAGGTCGAAGAAAAATACTCGTGCATGTTCTCACCCTCACTCGTCATATATGCTTTTCGAACTTTTACACCGGATATTTTCATATTCAGCACTGCTAACAGTTCTTTTTGCCACTTACATTTCGATATTTTCATATTCAGCACTGCTAACAGTTCTTTTTGCCACTTACATTTCGATATTTTCACTTTTCGACAAAGTTGCATAAAAATTCAATAAAACGCGTTAGAATATTTAAGTCATTACAAGAAGCATTGTTGTATTACAAGAGAGCTGAGACTATCTATGATCATTCATTACCTTCAAACCATCCAAGTGTCATACAAATTAGTATCAAAATTAACTGGCAATTATGCCTAAAAAAACTAAAAGTCGAAATTTCTTAGACCCGAAATACAAAAGGCAATTTTTGTGAAAAAGTTAAAAATTGGGGCAAAAAACGATTATTAAAAAAATTCAATCTTGTGACGAGGATTGCGCTTTAGGAATTCATCCGATTGAGTTGAAATCTTTTTTGGAGGCACAACTCACTGCCCTCTACAACATACAGAAAAATCAGCCAAATCAGAGACATCACTCCATCGTCGGTGTCTGAGTTTCTCAGAAATTCGCTCTTAAATTAATTTCATCTAGAAATGCACTGATAAAAATATTTTGTTCGATGTAAATAAAATAACTGCATTAAAAATTTTATTTTAGTCAAATTATAGAATAATTAAACAATATATTCAATCTTATAATGTAGAATTAATTTATTAATAGAAAATTAAAGTCATAATTAAGATACATGTAAAAGTTCTTTAACTTCAATTTGAACGTTTGGTTCTAGATTGATCAAAGAATATTTTATGAATTTATTTATCTTTGTGCTTAATTTATTCATTAAAACTGAAATCATTATTAAATAATTAAGATAGATATTCAATATATTCTTTAATTTGTATGACACTTGGATGGTTTGAAGGTAATGAATGATCATAGATAGTCTCAGCTCTCTTGTAATACGACAATGCTTCTTGTAATTCTCCTTTATCCTTATAAACGTTAGCAATGTTTTCAAGTGTTAAAGCAATATCACGATGCTCTGATGGTAGAGAGTTTATTTTGATTGTAAGTGATTCATTATAATGTTTAAACGCAGGTTCATATTGACCAAGACTGCGATGAATATTTCCAATATTATGATGTGATTGACCAATATCAGGATGATGTTCAGGTAAATATTCCAAACGAATCTCCGATGCCTTTTGATGACATTGAAGTGCTTTGAAATAATTCTTTTGTCGTTCATAGACACAACCTATATTATTTAAACACATTGCAATATCTGGATGACTTCCATCAAATGCTTTTTTGATAATATCGAATGCTGTATTATATGATTCAAGTGCTTGTTCATAATCTTCTTTATTAAAATAAGCACATCCAATACTAATATAACTTGTTGCAAGATGAGGATGATCTAGTTTTAATGCCTTGGTTCTCAGTTCGAGTGATTTTTTATGCCATTCAAGACTTGAATCATAATCACCTTTTTCATCAGTAACATTCCCAAGACCATGATAACAACGAGCAATATCTGGATCATAAGGAGGTAGATGTTTAAGTAAACGATGATAATATTTCTCAGCTTCATCAAATTTCCCCATATCTGCTAAGACATTTCCAAATGAGAGAAGATTTTTTTCTCCACCGCCATGCTCATTTTTCATATGTTCAAAAATAGTCTTCAAATGATGATCATCAGCAGAGCATAATGTCATTCGAATAATCCACACTCGATTATCATCATCACGTACATCAACAATCTGAAAGATGGAACCAAGCATGATTAAAATTTCTTTTTCATTTTGAAAATAACTAAGTTTTGTGGTATCAGCGAAAGGTTTTGTTGTAATCGATGGTGTTATGGCACATATTAAAGACGTGCCATAAGAGACAATTGTATAATAGTCATATATATATTCGTTCTCTATTCTTCTGCTATGGGTATTTTCTCTTCTTGTCATATATGTATCTGTATTGTTCT